ATTATCAACAATATAAAATAAAACATTTGATAAAATAAGAGCACATACCACACAAATCTCTGTAGAGATTTTTGCTTATCACAAAATAATTGGTTGGTGGAGTAAGTATAAACTAACATCATGCTGATATTTCTTTATTTTTTAATTTTTTTATTTTAAAGAGATTAAGACAAAAGAAGATATAACAAAGCAGATCAGACCAGAACAATGCAAGTAACACAGCATTTTACCACAAGACAACCCATAATTAACAGTAACTACCATAGTGTCTCTTCCTTTGAAATAGCTGAGCATAGCTTCATATCCGATAGTATCAAGCATAACAAAACAGTATAAAACCATTCAAGAATGAAAGCATTGCACAGCTTTCAGAACCAAATAGCAGAGAATGAACAATGGCTACTATAATATCTCATTTTCCATAGAAAATTTGTTTATATTATTACACATAATAATATCCAATAAGATATAACATGATACAACCAATGGCAACAGAAAAACATAGGACTTCAGAGTAAGATGATACTAAATCAGCTATGGCTATTCTCTAAAAGAGCTGTTTATACTATCACAGATAATAAAATCAAACAAACTAGGATAAAACCATCCCAACTAATGAATGCAGACACTATAAGGCTTCAGAGCATTATAAGGGGGAATCACTATTACTATAATCTCTTATGTACTCTTACCATTTCTTACACTACTGAGACTAATCGGTATTTATACATGCAAGTTTGATTTATTTTGCTAATGAGTATGGCCTCACGTTGTGTCTATTAATTTATAAATATCTCAATATGATCATTCTTTATAGCTGAGTAGTACTGCATTGCATAAAAATATCACAGCGTTTTTATTCATTGCTCAGTTGATGGACACTTGGGTTGTTTCCAAGATCTGGCAATTACAAATTGTGCTTCTATAAACCTGGGTGCACATATATCACTGTGGTATGATATTTTCAGTTCTTTGGGAATATGCCTAAAAGTGGAATAGCTGGAACAAATGAGACTTTCAATCCCAGCTTTCTTAGAAATCTCCAGACTGACCTCCACATGGCTGCACCAGTCTACACTCCCACCAACAGTGCAGGAGAGTTCCTTTTTCCCCACAGCTTCTCCTGCATTGTTGTTGGTAGTTTTCTTGATAGTGGCCATTCTTTCAGGAGTGAAATGGAATCTTAGTGTGGTTTTAATTTGCATTTCTCTAATGAGTAATGATGATGAACACTTTTTCATGTATTTGTTTGCCATTTGTATTTCTTCATCTGAGAACTGTGTATTCATCTCAGATGCCCATTTTTTTTTTTTCTTTTTCCTTTTTATCGGTACCAGGGATCGAACTCACCACTGCCTGCTTGCAAGGCAGGCACTTATGGCGTTGAACTAAATCCCCAGTCCCCCAAATGCCCATTTTGGGATTGGGTCTTTGAATTTCGGGGGTCTGATTTTTTTTTTTTAATTCTTTCTATGTTTTAGACAGAAGTCCTTTGCCTGAGGAAAGATCACTAAGTTTTTTTTCCCCAGTTTGTAGGTGTTTTTTTTTTTTTTTTTTCACTAGACTGGAGACTTCTTTTGACATGCAGAAACTTTTTAATAAGACGTAATCCCAGCTATTGATTCTGGGAAGTACTTCCTGTGCTGTTTGATTCCTGTTGATGAACTCTTTACCTACCCTTATGTCTTCAAGATTTTTACCTAGTTTTTCTTCCAACAGATTTAGTGTTTCTTTTTTAATATTCAGATCTTTGATCCACTTAGATTTTAGTTTAGTATATAGTGATAAGCATGGGTCTAGTTTTAGTTTTTGGCATGTGGAGAGCCAGTTTTTCCAGCACCATTTATTAAAGAGGCTGTCATTCTTCCAGTGAATATGTTTGGCCCCTTTATCAAAGACGAGGTGATTCAGTGTGTTGGTAGTTGTGATTGCATCTTCCAATTTATTCCATTGATCTTTGGCTTTATTTTTATTCCAGTATCGTGTTGATTTTTATTACACTTGCTTTGTAGTATAACTTCAAGTCAGGGATTGTGAAGCCTCCTGGCTTACCTTTGCTGCTTAGAATGGCTTTTGCTATTCTAGGTCTTTCTGGTTCCACATGAATTTTAGTATTGATTTCTCTAGATCTGTGAGGTAATGTTGATGGTATTTTCATTCGGATTGCATTGAATCTTATAACAGTTTTGACAGAATGGCCATTTGTACAATATTTATTCTTCCTATCTATCCATGAGCAAGTGATGTCTTTCCATTTTCTGAGATCCTCTTCAATTTCTTTTTTCAAGGCACTATAATTTTCCCTGTATAGATCTTTTACTACCTTTATGAGATTAATTTCTAAATACTTCATTTTTTGGATGTTAGTGTGAAGAGTGGGCTTCTTTTATTTCTTTGTCAGTGATTTTGTTGTTAGTGTATAGAAATGCTCTGCATTTTTGAGTATTGATTTTTATCCAGCTACTTTGCTGAATTTATTTATTGTATGTAGGAGTCATTCGATGGAGTTTTGAAGGCCTTCCATGTAGAGTATTATGCCATCTTCAAATAATGGTAATTTAACTTCCTCTTTTGATATATGACAAGATTAGTGGTTGTTAATGATCAGGAATTGCAATTCTCATACATTTTCAGAAGGAAGAAAGAGAAATAAAATGTTAACAGTTACTGTGTGTTTCTTCAAAATGTAATATGTTTCTATGCTTGGATGCATAAGGTTTTCACTCTTAGATATTTACCTAAAATAAATGAAAATATATTCACAAAGAAAAATGCAAACAAGAATGCTAATTTTTTTGTAATGTAATATATCTAAATTAGAAACATAAACATTTATAAAACATAACACTATATCCTAAAATTTATACAAGTCAGTGAAAACAAAAACTGAAAATTATATTTACAAAAGAAGAGGTATTGTATGCTTCTTATTTCATTGCTGAGTCAAGTATAATATCATGTGTAATAAAAAAAGAGAAGTGTTTTTTAAAACTGATTTTAAAAGTGATTTTAGGTGACTTTAATGTATCAGCAAAATTAATAGAGAGATATACTTTTTTGGACTGGAAAAGTTTGATCATTATATAAAGTATTTTATATCATATATAAGAAATATATTGATATAATTTGTATGTAATATGCATATACCCATAATCCGTTTGTGCATATAATACCTGATGTGTCACTATATAAAGTTTATCTAAGGATAACATGGTTATGTTGAATCCTCACTGAGAATTTTCTAGACTCTAAAGCTGTTCTTTCACATCTACTCAGCTGAGTCTGCCTTTGAAGCACAGCCTGTCGGGGCTACTTCAGCAACTTGGAAGAAAACTTTAAAATCCCCCAAGATGCTGGGTAAGTACTTTCGCTTGCTTCCTGCCTGCCTTTTCCACATGAAATCATACAGTTCTTTGGCTTTCTCTAGTGTAACAAATGAATACCAATTTAGCTACTTGAATAACTGCCAGCTAGAATCCATCTCTAGAAGTGAGCTTGTGTGGGTTCTTTGCTCAGGATCTCACAGGATTGAAATCAAAGCATCATCCAGGCTGTGTTCTTCTATAAATGCTTGGAGAAAGAACCAGCTTCAAAATGAATTTTGACCAATTCAGTTGTGGTTTACTGCTATTAGGACTTAGCCTCTTGCTTCTTAGCCTGATGTAAGTCAGAAGGTTGTGGCTCTTAGCTACACATTTCTCATCATGTGGTCCCTTCCATCTTTCAGCCAGCAATGGATAGTAGAATCCTGATAACACTTTGAAACTTTTGGATCCTGTCTCTGTTGTGACTGTTAGTCAGTTTTACAATTTTACAGTTGTTACTTGACTGGATTAAATCATCCGTATTTTAGGGTCAGGTGACTTGTAACTGTAGTTAATCTCCAAAAATCTCTTTTATCCTCCATTATTGTGAGATTGAATAATTGGAGAATAGAAATGCTGACTTTATGAATGATGATTACCAAGACAGCACAGGTGAGTCATGGAAAGAATTCTATTTTTGAGCACTGGATAATAATGGGTATGTATAAAAGTAACAATTGAATTAAATATATGAACTATTTCAAGGACTCATTCAGCAAAGTGCATCTAACAAATATACTCTTAATTAACAAATTTCTATAATTACTTTAGCAATATCAATATATTTTGAATAGAGAAAAGACTTTTCTAGAAAATTCTAAAGATGAACTACATTACATATTCCTAAAATGATGATTTAACCATCATTCATTTAACTTTGTATAAAATTTCCTAATTTATACCTAATTTGGAATTATGCATTATTTTGTTCATTTCTCTTATGCTTTCTAAATTTATACTTTCTTTAATTAATCTTTCAACTAATGAATAAAATTTAAGTGATAATTGGCTAGACTATTAAATAAGGGTAGATAATAATTTACCTCTTGCTAAAATGTTAATATTAAAACAAGAATACCAACTTTTATACTAGATTTCAGTTTGTTCTTCATCATATATCAGTAAAATGTATAAAATCAATCAATTTTTGCATGATTATAAGTCATGCAATGAATCAATTTTTGCATGAATATCCTCATGGGTGGGGCAAGATAATACATGGTACATTGTGATAAAAGAAAGTTTGAGAATCACTTATTTCTAAAAGAAAATTTAAAAAGTAAAATAATTTAAGTATGTGTGTCTACAATTTAAATAGTATTGAGAAATACAATTTTGTTAATTTTCATGCATTGTTTGATGACAAAATTTTGGTAGTATTTCAACTATATTTTTTGTAACAATAATTAGAATTTATTTGGAAGACATTGGATTCCTGTCATGTCCCAAGTTTACTTGCAAAAATCTGAACAGTTTCTGAGCAACAAAGGAGAACTCATCAAGCAGGGGTTGATCAGGGGTTTCAATCAAATGAACCATAAAGGTGGAATTCTAGAGATATTGAAATATCTCAAAATCTAGAGATATTGATTTTGTCCTCATTTATCAATATGGAATATTGTCCTCATTTATCAATATGGAATATATATATATATATATATATATATATATATATATCCTTATGCTTACCCTAGAAAGGCAAGAGAATTCAAGGCTGAACAACAGAATACATGTGGAAGACAGGGGAAAATATGGAATGAAATAATTACAGGAAAATAATGCCTCGTTTCTAGTTCCAACCAAGTCAAAAATTATAAAATGAATAAAATGTAAGACATTTTGACAGAATAATAAATAATTGAAGCTGGGCTTATCTTGCCTTCTGCACATAGTTATTTTGTTTGTTTTCTTGTTTTTGTTTTAGTAAAATAATGAGCAGCGAGTATAAAAGAGAATTGTACACTGCAAAGAGAAGAGAGGGCGCTCAGCAGAGAGGTTGCTCTCAGTGGAATTGCCCGAGAAAGGAAATTGCGGAAACAGTGTCAGTGTAAATGCCTGAAAATCCTTGTAATTCTGCTTCCCATTCTCCTGTTCCCAGGTCCACTGCTACTCTTTTCACCTGTCACAGCAACATCTTTATCAGCTTTTGGTTTCACTATATGAAACAAAAGTAGTGAAAATGACTATGCAAGAGAAAACAGTGTCCACGTTTTGACTAAAATGACATCATTCTCCTTGTTGAAGAGGGTGCGATTTCTCTGAAGGCAGAGAAGCAGGAGAATAAGACTTAATTGAAATGTAAAAAGACTATATGGAAACAATAAAGTTTATATTTAAAATGGTTTGAAGGTAGTTTTTTTTTTCTTTTTTCCTTGCTTTTATCAAAACAATGACCACTATATCAAAGAAATAACTGTTTCTGACAAAATGTCACTGATAGCATTGTACAGCAGTAAGTGCTCTGTAAATGTAATGTGGCAAATTGGAAAATATTAAAAATCTAAAAGTATACAAATATTCTAAAGCAATCATCTTATAGTCTTGTGGGCACAGCTAAATTTTGAATTTTCTCTCCACTCAAAACTTTGTTAATTAATAGGTGATATCATTTAATTAATTAAAATTATTTCAGTCATTTATTTACAGCCTTAAAAACTACAAACTTGTTTTCAAATAGGTCCATTTTCAGACTTCATTAACTCTGACAAATCATAAACACAAAGCTACGGTCTTTCAAATTACAATTTAGGAATCCATCCAATGGAATGGTAACCTTATTCTAATGAGCATGTCCTCCAAGGTCTGACCGCTGACAGGTTCAGAGTCATCTGAACCACAGATTTCATATCAGTAAGAAATGTAAGCTGGGGATGTGAACTAAATGACAGGAACTCTTCTAAAAAGTATCAGTTGTATGGTTGGTAAGACAGATGACATCCATATGGTAGAATCTTAAAAGTTTACACATTTATAAGGCAGTAAATAAATGGCTGAAATAATTTTAATTAAATGATATCACCTATTAATGAAATGAAAGGCAGTTCTTTGAGAATGACTTGGCCAGAGCCATATTTAACCAGGTGTTTTGGAAGGTCTCCATTGAGAAAGTGCAATTTTAAAATTCTTAAACAGCAAGGAATTTAAAACCCGGAGACCTTTACTGGTAGATGGAGTGAAATGTCAAACCTGATGTCTTAGAATACAGTGTTGGTCAGCGGCATGTGAGTAATGCAGGAAGTGGGAGATGATGTGATGGAAATGGGAAGGAAGACATGTGACAGATGGCGTATGCCTTCCAGATCATTTGTCTATTTCAGCCTCATTGTTAGCCCACCCTCACCTACATTCCTTGGGGACCAGGCTATGTGATAGCTCATGGGAGCACACTATGTGACTCAAATCCTCACAGTCCAGACCTTGCTTCAAAAAAAGGGAGGTATGGGAAGACCTCATGGCCCCTGGCTATAGGTGAAATGCTAATAACCCTGAGGCAAGATAGCAACTGTGGAGGACAGTTGTCAAAATACAGGTATTTGAGTTTAGAGAACATCTGGTTCCTGATTAACTTAATCTTTATCCACCCAATTTCTACAGTTACTATCCACCACCCCTGCCCCTGCACTTCTTGCCAGACATTAAAAGCAAGCCAGCCCCAGGGTAGCTGAGACAGTCCACTAGCCGTGAACTCTTCCTGGTCCTCTATGTACCCTGAAAATTGTCTCTTTAGCTTTCCCTGTTTCCCTTTGTCCCTCTTACAGGTACTTGATGGTCTGATGAGCCCTCAGGAATACATTGTCCAGCCAGAAGGGGTGACTGTAGAAATGGCCGCAGCCTCTTGATTTATTGTTTTTCAATTGGATTGGCCAGTAGATGTGATTAGAAGAGCACCTGAAGAACAAAAGAGAAACAAGGGTCAGTAATACTTTCAACAGCTGTGGTCAGAATGCTGTGTTGTGCTTATCTCAGAGTCCTAACACACAGAGTAATAGTATTTAAAGGCAAGGCCTGTGGATGTTGGGTAAATCATGATGGCAAAACTCACAGGAGACAAGAGAGAGCTGTCGCCTCTTCTACCATACAGAAACACAGCAGGAGGACCAGACATGAGAGTACATACCTACAATCCCAGCACTCCAGAGACTGAAGCAGAAGGATTACCAGGAGTTCAAGGCCAGTCTGAACTACACATAGCAAGACCCTGCCTCAAAAAAACAAACCAAATAACAACAACAAAAAAACCCACTAAAAACCAAAAGAACAAAAACCAGAAATCGAAAAGCAAAAAACAAAAAAAGCCAGAAAATGCTACATGTGAACCAGTAAGCTGACACTCATTATAGTGATTGCCAGTTCTTTACCCTTGTACTTGACAGTATCCAGAATTCTGACAAATAAATTTCAGGTGCACATAAGTCATCCCTTTATATATTTTGTTAGAATAGCCTAAATGAACTAAGACATCTATTAAATCACTCTGCAGTAGCCACTTTCTTCTCCAAATAATCCCAAATTGTAGGAGTTAGGGTCCATATCACTGAATTTTGCAGACTCCTATAATTGAACAAAACTTAAAGTAAAAATTTGGTGAATTCATATATTTTCTGTTCTGTAGAATTGTACTATATCAAAACTCAGATTCATACCTTTACATTTTCTCATTTAAATGTGTTGGACCCTATTTTATATGAACATAAATAATCAAGATTTTTAACTGTTAAATTCATAGTAAAGTCCAAATGTCTCATATTGTCCACTATTAGAAAACTAAATTCTTTCCTATTTGTACTGTGTGAAACCATGCTCTTTTAATTCTCCCCCTTCCTGCTGTTTTTACCAGTAGCCAATAGAGACTGGGTCACAGAGTGGATTTCTGACCTTAGAACAGCCATATCTGAGGTCTTTGGGATAAATATTCTGGGTCATTTCCTCTTTAAACTCCTGCCTTGAAAAGGCAGAATGATTTTTCTGGAGTTTCACTGACAGTAAGTGACAGATGCCAATAATTTTAACAAAATCTTACACACAAAAATGAGAGATAATTCTGAGAAAACATTGTAGAATTAATTTTTCTCTCATAAGTATGCCCTTTAAAAGCTCTGAACAAAAATAAAGACGTATGTGTTGGGAAAACTAGAGAACACTTGCAGAATAAATTTACAGAACACTTATATTTGCTAAGCCTTTATGATTTCTTGCTCTAAAACATGATTGTCTTCATTTTTCTAAAGAAATAAAATAGAAAATTGTGTAATTCAAAATATCAAAGTTTATGCTCCTCATTGAGAAAGTATGGAAACTACATGAGATTTAAGCTCACGCTGCTCAGTTTCTTCTGGGATAGCTGAGCCCTATTCATTTCTGTAGAAAGAGAGATAAATACAAAGACAATCTAAGTTTAGGCTTTGTCAAACAAAGATGAAATGCCTGAACTATTTTTTTTTTTTTTAGAGCTCCAGTAATTCTTCCTCATAAAACTGCATCTGAGATAACTGACTCTGTATTTACACAGCCAAACAGAAGCAGAGGTTCAACCACCAACCTGGGGGTATTGTTCAGCAGAAATCCCTGAACCAGATTCCAGATGGCCCAGATCAAATTCTTTCCCTGTCCTTTATCATCACATTTGTATATATTTATTGTAAGCATTTTGTTTATCATTAGGAAAATTTGTACAGAAATTGTTGACAATTTTATTTCAAACTAATGTGTGTATAAAGAGTAACAGTACACGAGAACAGATATTTTGCTAATTATCAAATTAAGGCCTTTGGTCCTGGCCTTAAAAATGTGATACTTACACATTTCATAAGAGAAAATTATATATATATATATATATATATATATATATATATATAATCTTACTACATTGTATTTTCTCCAAGTCAATATGCCAAAGTCATGTTATTTTCTTATTTGAAGATACTGTCATTTTTTTTTTCTTTAAATAAGGGCTTCCATGCTGAGATTGTGATAGGCAAGGTCTTTGCTTTTGGAGATGGTAGGTGTTATAACATAAGTAACTTTGGGCAGATTAATAAACTTTAAGAGATTTTGTGCACTGAGAGACCCAAGAGCATCTTGGCTACTTTGAATTTTAATAAATGCTAATGAAGTCATGGAACCTAATAGCAAAAACAACAAAGCAATACAACAACAAAGCAATAAATACAGTAAAACAGCAATGCAGAAAACAATAGCATCAGCAACAAACAAGTTAACAAAATATATCCGGTATATTTCTAACTGATTCAATCTTGTATTTCTCTGTCTGTAACTCTAAACTCTTTGGACTAAGAAGTAATCAAATGACCCCCCGATTTAGCATTTATTCTTTCTTATTCAGATATTGGTTTCTTAGTTCATTCAATGAATATGTTTGTAGGAGGTCTACTAAATATCAGGATGATAAGGAGTACTGAAATATATAAATTTAACATACAAAGTCAATATTTCAATTATGAAGAAGTTTAAGTCTGTCTTTATGAATTATCATCATCATGAGGCAACACAAAAATCAATTGATCCTTTATAGTAATATGAAGATTTTAAATTATTTTTGTTCAACATTGAAATGTTAAAAATACCTTATTAGAACACTTTTACTTAAACTAGTATTCATTAAAATCACCAATGTTTTTGTTTTATATTTAGGTCAATGATATAAAAAGTTTTATAAAGAATGTTACTATAATTTTGAATCTATTGTAAAATTAGAACTACCTACGGGCTCGCCATACTAGAGAGTCAACATTATTTCTACAGAAGGATTGTGAGGAAGATATTTTTTTCTTAAACAAAAGTGACAATGGTACTGATATGAATACAGACTTTGCTTTCAACATATAAATTTGTGTCAAGTCTTTCTCATCTAAAATGAAATAAAGTTCTCTCTTTTCCCCTCTCATCTTTTTTTGCATCATTATAATTAGATTACATGCTTACTGAAATTTTCAAACATTTACTTCATTTGTTTCAAACACCACCAACATTTGTGATTAATTTTTAAGTGACAATTTTATTGATGTACTTTATAAATAAAATGTTAAAATAATCTCAAAAGTCCTGAAAGAAAAAAAAAAAGTGTAAACTACTGGATTGGTCCTTTTTAGCTCCAGCCTGCATATAATACTTCCTGATATTCTTTTTTATGGAATTGTTTGGTATAGATTGATTTTAATTTAATCAGTGTAGGTTCTGATTCTCTTGTATTTTCTTACGATTTTTGATAAAGTGAATTGAGCTTAGAAAATGCAGATCTTGAGAATTCAAATGAACTGTTTTCTAATCAAAATATGGAGAAGGAAATGCCCTATCAGAACTTTTTAAATTAAAATTACAGGCTATTGTAATCTAAAGGAGTTCCTAAAAAGAAAGCTATACTCTTTCTCCCCCACGAAGCACCAGAACATGGGATCTTGGGGAGAATAAATGTGGCCACCAAAATTTTTGGCTATTTCAGCCAACAGCTCTAGCATGGCACTAAACTAAATCTTGTTTCCTGTGCTTCCAAATGGCTTAGCGTCCCTCTCAAATTTAAATATCCTGTAAAGTACAGTATTGCCTTCTCACCTATGATCACTGCTTCCTGTACTTTTACAGTTACCATTCATATTAATGTCTGTTTTATGCATTTCTACAATAATAGCATATATTGACTCTGAAAAAGAGAAAAATCAGAGCTTTATTTAAATAATCTAATTTTGAAATTTATAATTTCTAATTTATAAGAAAATAGCTTTTGAGTTCTTTAAGCTGTAATTACAAATCAAAAGCTTTAAAGTGTTGAAGAATTTAAACTCATTTTAAAAAGATAATAAATGCTCCTGAACTTACAAAAAGTTTTTTCATCATTTCAAGGAAAAAGAAATATCACCAGAGTTTTCTGCTAATATTTCTTCATAATACAAAAGATTTTCTGTGGCAAATGTTAGGATATTGCAAAAAGCAGAAAATAGAACAAAGACATGATCCCTTTAATGGAGGTACTGTACTGTTGTGGAAATAAATAGGTCAGGAAAATTAAAGCTTTAAAAAATTACTACTAGCTTGTTAGAATGACAAATAACATAAGACTTCATTTGAGTGAACTCACTTTTGCTGAACCCAATTATGGATTATTTTTTCAGTCACTGTGAGTTGTTGACAGGTGAAAACAAATAGTAGTTTCTAATGAATTCATCATGTCAGATATTTAATCTTGAACATATCTTTATTTCTTTCTTTTTTTTCCAGTGATGGAGCTAGAATGTTTCATATGTGGTCTCAGTTAGCATCCCATCCCTATGTTCATGTCTTCATATGTGAAACGGTAACTCTTCTCCTCTGAAGCTGAACTTGGACATGAATTCTCCAACTCCTGAATCAAAGCTGCCTTTGTGACATTGTTTGGCCCATGTAGTGCAGGGTTACTACACTGTGGTTTTCTGAGTACACACTTCAGAGGTGTTGCACATTGCCAATCTCTCAGAACCCTGACCGTTTTTCTTGTGTACAACCCTGACATGGCGAACCGCTGTCAAAAGCACATCCTGCCAAATGCCATGCTACCAAACAGGCACAGCAATGCATCTCCTGAAAACACTGTCATTAGTCAAAGTGAGACTTCCATCTACAGAACCTCTATAATAAGAACAAAGTGACTAACCTTTCAAAACTGTAAGATACAAGTGTTTGTTTCCATAGAAGTAACTAATAAAAACTGTTACATTTCATAGGATTAGTCTCATAGTTTAATTTAATAAATATTTGTTAAAATCCCTTAAGTGCCTAGAGCTCTACAAGGAACACTAGAAAAAATAAAGTTTTAGAAAAATGAATGAGGCTGTAATCTCAAGTAATATTATCCTTTGAAGACAATAATAATTATGTATACTTGCTTAATATTTATACAGAATTCAAATTCTTCCAATTCAAGAAATTTTCTTCACTGTTGTTCTTAAAACCCATCGAAGAGTTCCTGTTTTCCAAGGACATGTAGAAATATGCTTACCAGAGGATCTTTAGAGATATACCCATCAGGTGAGGCCTTCACCTGGGAGTCAGCACAGGAGTGGGGCCAGGTGAACCCTACATAGAGGACAATGTCCCCAGGGTATAATGCTGGAGACCTTTAGATACCTGTTGTCTGTGGGGCTCCAGATTTTCAAGCTAGAGGTGATTTCCCTGTAGGTACAAGGAGAGGAGAGGTGGTCAGTGAAGCCTGCATATCCTCAGACCTCTTGATCAGGCAAAAGTAGGCCAAACCCAGAGGCTTCCCCAGAGGCTACTTCCTGGGAGTGGCCTGAAGCAGAATGAGGTCCCTTCTCAGAGTGGATGAATGATCTTGAAAGCAAAGTACTGATCTCATCACAGACTATTTTTGAGGAAGCGCTATCCCAGGTTTGAAGTTAGGAAGATGTCTATGAGATGACTGTTGATTCTCCAGATTAGGCGTTTGGGGATATAAAGACCAATTATAAATGTGACCATTTAAAAAGACCATTATAAGTGCACTACATGCACCAGAGTACAGTTATGAGGCAAATTGTATTCCTGCAAAAACCAATCCTGCCTCAAAGAGGTTCTGAATACTGTCAACTTGGTGGTTTATAAGCTGAAAGTCAGAAATTTAATTCAGCTGAAATTTATGCAGATAATAATAATTTTGGTAATGATATTTGTGACAAAACATTTAACCAACCCATTCAGCCTGTTCATCCTTCAAAAATGCAGACTAGAGATGATCTTTTCAAATGTACTAATGCTATGAAATTTTTCAGTAATGTCTTACATCATGATGATCATAAAGGGATACACACAGGAGAAAAACTAAATGAATATAAGGAATGCCCTCAAATTTTTAATCAGAGTCCATCATTTAATGAATGCCCAAGACTTCATATTGGAGAAAACCAGTCCGTTTATAAAGAACACAAAAATACCTTTACTTCTCATCTTTTATGGGACAGCAAAAAACTGGTACTGGAGAGAAAGTACAGAAGTACAATGAATGAGAGAAAGTCTTTGGATACAACTCCTTCCTTATAGGGACACTTCAGGGAAACCCTACAGATGCAGTGAATGCAGAACCTCTTTCATCTGGAGCGCTTGTATTATTCAACACAAGAAAATGCATGCTGGTGAGAAACCTCATGAATGTGATAAATGTGGAAAAGATTTTGGGAGTCATTCAGCTCTTACTAACCATGAAGGGACTCACACTGGAATCAAACCCCATGAACATAATGAGTGTAGGAAAGCCTTCAGCTAGAATTCTCATCTGATGTACACAGAGAATTCATACAGGAAGAAAGTTTTCTGTGTGCAGTGAGTGTGGGAAGTCCTTCAGCTAAACAACCGACTCGTGGAACCTCACAGAATCACACTGGAGAGAAGCTATTTAGAGATAGGGAATGTGGAAAGTTGTTCAGTTAGCTTCCATCTCATTGCCCACATGAGAACACACAGGACAGAGAAACCCTTTAAACGTGACAAATGTGAAAAGGCTTTTTGGTTCCCTGGCCCTTGGTAAGTGTGAAAGAGTTTACTCTGGAGCAAAACTCCACAAGTGCAGGGAAGGTGAAAACTTCTCCAGCAGGAGCTCCCATCCCACCGCCACTCACACAGAGAGAAGCTCTATGCAACTGCCAGCAGTGTGGCAAAGCATTTAGCCCTCACTAAACATGACATTTTTTATTCTACAATTAAAACCTATGAATGTATTAAATGTGGAAAATCTTATAGATATAAGACTCATCCTATTAGGCATCAAAAGATTCCTATCAGAGAGAAATCCTGTGAGTGCAATAAGTGTGTGGAATCCTTCAGAGCTGTCATCTAGTTGCTCATCAGAGAATACACACTGGAAGAAACCTGATAAATGCAATCAGTGTGAATGATCCTCTAACTGTAACGCTCACCTTATTACACATTGCAGAATATATTGGAGGGAAACCATATATGTGGAATGAATGTGGGGGAGCATTTAATGAGAGATTTTCCTTCATTGTCCCCCTGGGAAGCCACACTGGAGGGAATCCGTACAATACGCAATCACTGTGAAAAATCTTTGTGTAAGAACTCGTCCCTTGTTATCCATTAGAGACTGCACAGCAGACAGAAGCGCTTCATGTGTAGCAGTTGTAGAAGAGCCCTCAGTGGTCATTCAGCCCCGCTTCAGCACCCAGAGGAGTCACAGTGAGGAAGAACTGCCCTCAAACTCAGCGGAGGTTTATTTTATGATACATTTGATGATACACTGACTGTACCATATAAATATAAGCAAGAGTGAAAGTGTTAAATTAAAAGTTTAGTAAGACTTTCCTCTCTATGATTCACTCTAAAATTTATGGATGAAACTAATAGATATAAGCTTACAGTGGTTTTGTAGTCCTTATTGAAGATCAGATAAATAGAGAAGAAAATTGAACTCCTGCTGTGGCCTCCAGGAGTCCCTGCCTAAGTCATGTGACTCTGCGAACTGAGGCAGCTTTCAGCACACACTCTCACAGATTTTGTAGGTAAATCAATGTGTGTCACTAAGGGAAAACCCTATGCCAAGAATGCTGTTTGACTAGAAATAATTTTTCATCCAGATGGAGTACTGAATGCACACAATTATGTTTTCTGTGTAATTTTAGAAGTGCAGATAGATTTTGCTACTATAAGGGAAGGCTAGAATAAGAATACAAACTCTTACAAAAGAAAAAAAAAATTAAAGATAATAGTACAATACAGAATAGGATATTAACTGTTGATCAAGATTAATCTCTTCAGAAAACTATTAATGAATGATATTTCTAAAGGTGGAAAGGTTATTTGTAGAGGTCGGAGGCTGATGTTGAAGGCACAGAGGTGACACTGAATCATTCAAAGTGTCATTGTATTTTGTGTGCGCATTACTGCAGTGTTGGGCAGTTAGTTTATAACTTCCTTCAGGCAATCACTATAAATTATGCAGTAATTGTGGTCACTGTGTCAGTGTACATAACAGGAGGGAATAAAAATGACACAGAATTCTGCATCTATATCTACTGTAGCAGATTTTAAAAGTATGTGGGGATAAAAACCTACTAGATTCATGCAGAATTTAATGCAGTGATTTAAGATTTTTTTGTTTTATTTTATAAGGATAGCACTTGCCACATTCTAGGCTTTGTTTTAAATATTTTTCAAATACTAATTTTTCCAGTCCCTGAACTGCGTGTGATAGATCCTATTCTCACCCAAGGTTTATGAATGGGGAGACTGCTGTGGCAAAATTGGGGTACCTGCTCAGTATAGCTAAGAATGTGCTGCAACTCAGGTCATGTTTTTAACTGCTGTATCAGCCTTTCTGCAGTGATGTTTCTCAAGTGTTTTCCCTCCCCCCAATTGTTTCTTTCTTTCTTTTTTTTTTTTTTTTTTTTTTTAAATTGGTACCAGGGATGGAACTCAGGACCCTGTGCTCGCAAGGCAGGTGCTTATGCCACTGAGTAAATCCCCAGTCCCTTCCCTCCACTGTTTTTACAGCAGAGACTTGATAATGAAATTCAAAAAAAAATTTTTTAATTAAAAAAAAATAAAAAAAATAAATAATATGTCCATCATGATTTCATCTCCTTGCAAGTCAAATCCCAGAAAGCAATTTATGTCTTTGTATTAAAACTAACATAATAAATGAATTAACTCAAGTGTTAAATATAACTAAAACCTCATTTAAAAATACTAATTTTCAGTAAAAGTTTATTAATGTTAGTTTGCATTAAGATATGAAAAAACTAAACTTATCGATCATTTATTACTAAGTTTTTAAATGTTTATTTTGTTATATAATGGCTAATTCTGAGAGTGTTATTTGGGTTACTGCTGTGTCTGGAATGACAATTTTTAGCAATAAATGGAGCCTGAGAAAGTGAAATAAGACTTAATTTTTGTTGAAATTCAAAATCAAACACACATCCTGCACACACACCCACACCCACACACACACACACACACACAGTCATTTACAATCCATTGGGAATAAGTGATGTTCTCAAAGACCTGCAATTAATTACTCAAGTGAGATAAATTATAATTAATTATAAATTATAAATTATAAATTAATTATAATTTATCTCACTTGAGTAATGGAAAACATTTAAATGGAAAACAGTTATAGTTATCACCATATTTATTTTTAGCAGCAAAACTGCCACTGATTTTTATCAGCATTAAATCAGTCTGGACTGCTTTCTTTCACACCTTTGTGATGCTGTTCCCAATGAGCCTAAGGTTATTTGCTTCATTTGGATGGAAATCATGAATCAGCAAAATGCATTTCTACAAGACTTCCGATATCACCAGCCAACAGCACGTAAGTGGGACCCTAACAGCTGACTGCTGGCTACTGGTTAGTGCAGCTGCCAGCCAAGCCTTCCGGGTTGGATTGTGCTGGACACCATGGACCCACTCTGCCAGATACTGGTCCCTCCTGATTATTTTCAAGGCCAACAACTGGAGGTGTTTTTTGTTCTCTCCTTAACTAATGACTCTGTCAACACAATTTAGTATAAGAATCCAAAGTAGATATCCAGGACATTCAGAATCTACACTACCCAAAAAATAAATCAGAGTCAGGTTTACTGGGCCACCAAAGCAGCTCTTTTCACCAGGGCCTGTGTCACAGCACTGGGGCATGGTGTGTACCACACTGATGGCTCCTTACACTGACTGGAGAAGAGGCTGAGAGGGCTGCTTATATAGAGGCTGCAATTCTGTTCCAGTGGGGGCGGGGCTGAAACACCGAATCTTCTGGAAGGCCGGCTATGGGGGTTGGGGATGTTCACAATGGATTCAGATTCCTCTCGCCTTGGTTTCAGCCATGCCCCGTGGGTGAACCCTTTCTTCTTCAAGAAGGCAGCAGCAACATCGGCAGCACGGGAAGGAGGGGCACTGCTATGGTAGTGGAGCTGCCTCTGTACCGCGGTGGAGCAGAAGACGCGGGCAACTAGAGTCACAGTGACCCTGCAACAAGCTGTCCAGTCAGTTAGAAGAAGCTGAAGGAGCAACGTGGGGAAAGATGGCGCCCGGCGCCCTGGTCTCTCCCAACATCAACACAGCTCATGGCGTCACGTCATTACTGAGAAGTCAAGAATTGTTAAGACAGTGTGGAAGTTCCTGGTATGACGTAGCAAAGCCATAAGGAGGGAGATATGGTCAAGACCGTATTAATTATGCACAATTTGAAGTGATCTTTGGAGAAGCTTCCATCTTCCTGGGATTCAAAAATAGTTTTATTTCTTACAAAAGATTGATTGTATTAATATTTAAATACCTAATGAATTTTTTGCCTTTCAATTTGTCATGGCACCTTCTTATTAAAATGTCCTCTGTGCTTACAGCTGTATTACACTGTACAGTAATTTATTCTGAGGTTCTAATAATGTTCAGTGAAGGATAGATAAGCGAACAGAATGTTAGTTGTGCAGAGTATATTTTTAGCATTTACCTGAGTGCTATGTGTCATTCCCAACAAAGGACAATTCACTGTAGCATTGTAGAAAAACTAATTTACCAGGTACATACCTTCATATCACCTATCAAAAATCAGGAATTAATATGAATTAGTCACTCAGGAAATTTCAAGTTCAAGCCTTCTATGATTTGAGAGATTGAAGACTAAATTTTGGAAAGGAGCATGATTATATGCCTTAGAGCAAAGAAGTCAGCAATACAGTGGGTATCCCAGAGTGAACCGCTCTTCTATAGTTCCCAACAATTACAGTCAGTCATAGAGTTTAAAATCTCAGCAAGTCTACAGGAGAGCATAAAACAGTTATGAATGGAGCCAAGTATATATAATTATCTTCTAGAATAGTTTCTGTAGAATATATGATTCCTCAGGCAAAGTTATTTAATACATTACATGTGAGAGCCACAGAGAAATATTTTCATGAATAAAATTTGCATTCTGGCATAGCACTCTTTCCAGGAATCATTATTAAAATATAAATTTTCACAATAGCATATGTGCGAACGTTCTTTTTGGACAAATCAACATTATAAACAAGACTCACAGAAAAAACTTCAGAGTTAAACAGAAAATCTGCAAAGAAACCTTGTAATGAAACATAATGGAAAACAATATTTAAATCTAGATTTGACCTAAAAGAGTAAGAAGGCAAAATATATATTTAAAAAGTCTTAAAATGTCCTACAAAGTACACAATGCGTAGCAAAAAATAAAAAAAAAGAACTTGTTTAAACTTTTAATTTAAAATACTGTCACAAAACTTACTAAGTATAAGATAAATCACTGCAAGAAAGACTGATGAAAGATTTCTATTTTTTGCTCTTAAGAGATGTTCCTGGTCAGTTACCAACTATTCACTATTCAATGACACAGAGTCTCAGACTAATTTTTTTTTCTTTTTCTTTCTTTTTGGTTTTGTTTGTCTAATTGTTTGTATTGGGGATTGTATCCAATTTTTTCTCACTGAGCTATATCACAGGCACCTTTCCAATTATTTTATTTTTAGCTGTGAGACAGGGCATTTGTAATTCTCTAAATTTTCTGTGCTGTACTGAAATTTACAATTCTCTAGTCTCAGTTTTCCAGAATGCTGGGATTACAGGCACTGTCATATAGGCTACTTTTTGTACTGCTCCACTGAACGCTATGGCTTGTGTCATTTTCCACATCGTAAGAGCTGCTCTATCTTACACAGGATTTGGTGGTGGAAGGAAGACTAATGTGATGTGTGTGTTTCTGTGTCATAATTTCTACATGTTAAGTAAATTAATATCTTAATTATGTTCATGTGACTATGCCTAGACAGCATTTATTCTATTTTGATATTTTCCTTGCAAAAGTGAGCTGTAACCTTTAACTGAGTCCTACGATGACTGCTTAGCCACCATACCAACTGCTCACTGAGATGCAAATAACAAGGAGGGTGTCTGAGACCTTTTTCTCCAAAGCTGAAATAAGCAATAGTAATGCACATGCCAAGCATAGAAATATAAGTCTTCAGTTTACTAAATGAGACATATCTGTCCTGAATTCCATTGAAGGGTTTGCTCTGAAGAAGCACTGTCAACTGGAGGCTACTTACCAAAGAAAGGTCTTTTGCTTTGTTTCTGAAGAGCAACAGAATTCTAGACACATTAGAGGGACTCCTTTCACAGATTGCTTTCACATATTTGTTGACAACTTCTATGGATAAACAGAGGTTATTAGGATCAGTATCAGCACTCTGTTTGAACAATTTTCTTTTAGCTGTATTTTACTTATATTTTGTACACTATTTTTGCTTATTGTTACTTAATTCTGCTTTTGTGTGACAGAGTAACTGATAACCCAGGAGGTATCTCTGTTCAACTGACATCATTTGAGAAAAAGTAATATGCCTGGCTCCCTTGGAGAAATTATAACTTCTGAGATTCAAATTCCCTGCAGATATTAAGGAACTGGACCACCTTTTTCAATTGAGCAGCATAGACAGGGTGGAGGGTCTGCATTCACTTGGTTCAGAGTCCAAGCATAGAAGCAGCAAACTCCCATCCAACTAAAAAGAAACCAGCAAAGCACACAGAGGACAAGGCACTGGAAGAAACATCTTGCACATGCAGAAAAATGGAAAGATATGATTTTGTTTACCAGACATTTTACCCAGATACACTAATTAATATAGATGCTATCATTAAAATGTAAGGTTCATATAAAATAGTCCAACACAGTGTCATAAAGTAATTATGATCCCAGCATCAGGTAACTAAGGCTGACAAAAAAAATAAAAAATCACATATTAGGTGGCTCCAAACCTCCAAAGATCTCCTTTTTTTAAAACCCCCTTGCTGCCTCTTCTAAAATCTCACTCCATAAAAACACTTTCTCATCTTTTAATAAGAAAAGCAATGACATTGGATGAGAAACTTTTCTGAATGACCTCATTTTATCTTAATTACTTCCTTAAAGCTTCATCTATAAGTACAGACCCATTTTGAGATACTTGGACTTAAACGAATTAATTTTGAGTTTTCACACATCAATTAACAATACTTCCATAGTTTCTATAAAAAACAAAAGTTTAAGGAAAATCATTTGCCTATGTAATCACAGAAATAACTAGAATGAGAACAGAACCAACTGTTACTGTTAAGGGGAACATTTTATAAACTTGGAGAAACTTTAGGCTCACAGAAGCAACATGGGTTGTTAACTGTGCAGTCAAACTCCGAGGGGAAATCACAGCTAAGCTCCCTGAGGAGATGATGGTCCTGACCCTGAACGTGTCTGGGTTCACCTGTGAGGTAATGTCAGTGGAGCCTTGCAGACTTGAAAAGCTCTGTCTGAACTCACTGCCCCTTGGTTACTGTGCATTCCTTTTAATCATTGATTTCGCTTTTGTAACTTTACAAAGTTTCCAGTGGAAAACTGCCCCATAGAATTAAAGTAGTATAAAAGTGGAAAACAGGGCTTTGTTCTCCACTCTCAGGAGGACATTAGCTTCCTGGAGAGATGCAGGCTAAAATAGAGCTCTTTGTTCCTGGAACTGTCTTTTTGGTTTTGTCCAGGATCCTGCGTAGTCTCTGACTTCAGGGTCATGCCCACTATGACCTGCCTCTTCTAACCAGAACCTGCTTCCTGACAGCATGTCAACCACAGCAACTCCACCCCCACCAATAAGATACTTTCCTATGAGCCACAAAGTCAACCTCTGAGCACATGAGGCCATAGGAGGAAGTATAGATACAAATCATAACACCCTGGTAAATCTATTCTAATTTGACAAGTCCTAAGTAAGCATGAAATCCACCTTCCCTATGTCCTCCAGCGCCCAGCAGCCTCTCAGACCTCATGCAGTGGGGCTGAGCTGGAGTTTGCTCTCAGTGAATGCCAATTGGGATGGTTGATTGGTTGGTTCTGTCCACTTGAGTAAGAGAGGCTCAGTTGAATTGGATCAGCAGTTACACATCCAAGGGTGTGGGTGACTGGTCCCAGGGTGGCTTGTCACCTGGATGGTAGTAAGGGGAACTAAGGAAGGATAGGCTACTAACAGTGAATGGCTGTTATACTTTATATCTAGATCTTCTCCTAAGGTTTTATTGGTTCACAGGTGGAACATGTGGAAGGTGACTGATTTATGGGGGCTTATGGCTGCCTTGACATTCCACGTGGCCTGAACAGAAGAAAAACATCTCTGTAGGTACGAACTGAAAAGTCACATCTCTTGTCTCAACTCTTCTCTTGGCTCTGTGTATCTAAGTTGGCAAAAGGTGAGCAACTTCCCACCACCATGCCTCTCGGCCATGATGCCAGATGAACATGCTCTAAAGCATGAGCCAGAATAAACTTTAGCCTTTGGTGTGCCTTCTTTAGCCTTTGGGTGTCAAAATACATAGTGTGTTCCAGAGAAAGAAAGGAAGACAATAGTTTTATGACGAATCTATTATTTCAGTTTTGACTTGAAAGTTCCTCTTTCTACACTCCCAGATTTTTCCCCATCTGATATTCTCACTAAGTTAAAACAAGTTTTACATCACAACCAATAGCATATCAGACAGATCAGCTGATTCAAATACATCAACTACAGTGCTTTTTATACAATTTGCATTGTAACTTTCTCAAAACAATATAACAAAATATTGTTATTAAGGGTCAGGGATACAGCTCAGCAGTGCAGCACCTGGCAATCCTGGCAAGCACAAAGTGCTGTGTTTGAGTTTGATTCCTGGTACGAAAAGAGAGAGAGAAAAAATTTATGTTTCGCAAATCAAGTATATTTCTGATAGTACTTTTTCATAAGTGAGAAATGGAGCTTTCAAAACATTGTGTATAATTTTCTCATATTTCCATGAACATATTTACTAATTTGAACAAAATTTAAAATAGTGCTTGTTGACATGGTTGGGATTCAGCAAGGCATATGGGAAGCACAGAGCAGCTTGAGAAGTGCTGGGTGCTGCCACAGGGTTCAGCGTCACCATGTGGCCAAACAGTAACTCCAGAAAAATACCTTAACTTTTTTTTGAAAAGAAATGTTATAAAAGTAGTAACACTTTTGCTATCAAGGTAAAATCAAATAAATTTTAATTACAAAGGAGATGTTCATAATAATAAAATAAATCACTTCCTGAACCTCTCTTTTTTTTTTTTTTTTTTTTTTTGGTGTTTTTTGTTTTTTATTGGTATCCTGCTTGCAAGGCAGGCCCTTATGCTGCTGAGCTAAATCCCCAGCCCCAAACCTCTTTTTTACTAAATGTATATGGTTATATTTTTTTGAAGTGTAAGTACCTATACAATGAGACTGAGTAGGTCTGTCATGTATAGGAAAATAGGAACTATTTCTATGTTCTTAAAATAAATATAAAATATATGAATGGTTACATTTAATTTCATAAATTTTCCAATTTTTGAACTATAAAACACTAAAATAGCTCAAATTATTTTCTCTTCATATCAGCAAATTGTATACTAGAAATTTCAGAATATATTGTGTTTTAGTGTCAGAGACTGAACCCAGGGATGTTATGATAAATACCTGCTCCGTCACTGAACTACACCCACACCTGAGAGAGAGAAGTTGAATATATATTTTGGGTTTTAAAGTAGTAGATATTTTGATTAATTTTAAATTTTATTCATGAAGATAACATGGAAACTTTATATTTATAAATATTATAATCTTCAAATAATCTACTTAACTCACTTCCCAAATACTGATTTGAAAATAAACTAATTTCACTTTGATTTAACATCATCAAATAACTACTTATATGAGTTATAAAAAACAAGGGCTGGGGGTTTATCTCAGTATCATAAGTCCCTGCGTGGCAAATGCAAGGTCGTGAGTTCGATCCCCAGCAGCAAAAAAAAAAAAAAAAAAAAAAAAAACAGATACAGACTAATAACTGGAATCTCTTCCTTGCATTTATTTTTAAATAAGTCTTCGTACATACAAATGTCTAGTAATGTTTGTAAATAAAGTCAAAATTAAAGGAATTAAAAGAATGTGGCAAAGTCTAGTATCATTTTGACTGAAGAAATGTCTTATGTATATTACGCATTTTCTTGGGTAAATTTAACACTTATTTGGACTAATATTTCATCCTTTTATATGTGTAACATACTGTGTATACTAAAACTTAGCACTCTTCTCTATTTATGCTTTTTATAAGACAGCTTGTGACACATTACTGTAAGATTGGATGCATGCTTGCTGTTTCTCCTTACACTGAAAATATTCAGATTGTATGGGCAGTTGTATACACACACACTTGTTGTTTATAGAATATGATGCAAGATAAATAAAATAAGAAATCTAGCTACAGCAGAATATCACAATTCTTAGACTTTCAGTTATAGGTATTATAATCAGGGATTGTGAGGAAAATGATTAGAATCAGAACACAGAATTTATAAAATTATGTTCTGATGGTCACCCAGACTTAACCTAAGTGCAGGAAATCTATCCACAACACTAAAGACATAGACTATTTAGCCAAGGATCCCACAGCAATGTCCTGCATGAGTTCAGATGAAGACATAGAGCCCAGGAAATGCCTCCCCAAAGTCCAGCTGGAGGTCTAGAGTCCACAAGAAGGAATCACACCTCTCTGTTTTACAGATTCATGCTGGAAAGTCCCAAAGGTCAGTGGTAAAAGCTAGAAAGTCTGTGCCAGCAGGAGCTGTGCTGGTAGGTTGAGGGTTACATCCTGGAGCTGAGAAGTCATGCTCATAATAAAGATCAGGGCTTTCCTGAAAAACACCACAGACATCTTCAGTGACACCGAGGTCCTGAGCTCCCCCAAATATAAGAACAGTTGAGGACATGCCAGAAAGCCAGCATGATGAGTTTTCCTGGAGATTAAATGGCACACATCTTCCCCTCTGGAGCAAGGATGTGATGCTTAAGGCAAGAGCTCCCTCAAAGTGAACCAAAGCCACTCTCACCAACAAGGTCCTGAGCTCCTCCAATGACAATAGTCAAATTTTTTTGCAACTCCCAACACACGTTGAAGAAAGACATTTCAGTTAATATATTTTATAAAATACAATCCTAAACAGCTACTCATGATGAGCTCTTCTAGGAGAAACAATGGCTCAAAATAAATACTTGGAGAATCCACAAGGCCTAGCCTCTCCTTCTTCATGTTTCTACTTAAGCTGTCAGTTTTCCTCAGGTGGAACATCTATGCTCAGCACTATGCTGA